TATCTGTTTTTTAAAGCTCCACAAAATTGTTTGGAAGAAATTGCTAAATTTTATGTTTTTAGGGTCAAAATTGGGAAAACCTAATTTTTATCTCATAAAACCCTCCCAAAATCCCCATTCTCATAGTCCCATCATTGGTCCCATTGGTTCGCGAACTCGTTCTAATGAATGTAGATTAACTTGTTTATACCAATTTTCATCAAAATCGGATAATTTTTGCTTGATTTATCGTGCTGATACTACTGTATAGACTATACATATATCATACTATATCATACTATCTATCCTACTAATATTATAAATGAGAAAGTTTGGATGTATGGATGTATGGATGTATGGATGTATGTTTGTGACAAGTGAACGCGAAAAATACTGGTCGGATTGGGCTGAAATTTGGCATGATGATAGCTCACATTCCCGATTAACATATAGGCATATTCTTATTTCAAAAATCCTTTCGGGCTCCGCCCCAGTGGCTCTGGAGTTTCCCATGTTAACCTTATGAGAAATGGAATTATTGAATCTTAACAGCTGTTTCAATTAAACAAGTTGGTTCTGTTCTATGATATTCAATAGCATTAAAGTTACAAGGATTACCAACAGGGTGCAGCACTATTATTTCTTTTACATTTACATAATTTATGACAACAGCTAATTTGCAACCAAAAGGTGAGTGAGCGTAGCGAACGAACTTCAACCTGGAGGCGAGTTAGCGTAGCGAACGAGCTAACCTGAAGGCAAGTGAGCGCAGCGAACGAGCTCCAACCTAAAGGTGAGTGAGCGTAGCGAACGAGCTCCAACCTAAAGGTGAGTGAGCATAGCGAACGAGCTCCAACCTAAAGGGGAGTGAGCGTAGCGAACAAACTTCAACCAGGACGTGATTGAGCCATGCGAACGAGATAATCTTGAAAATTAAGAAGTTAAACGGGGCAAAGCCCGCGGGTTACAGCTAGTATATTATATAAATGTGAAATTCCGATCAATGCACATGCCAAACCATAGCACCTAGAAGCATGATATTTCATATATATATTTCTCTCATGGCGTAGGCAGATAATAAGAAGCGATTTTACAAAACTTCCAATGGGCCCTGACCCACAGAGGGTCAAAGCTGGCATGGAGTTTGTATAGGAAGAATTTAATTTCAATTTGTTTTGGTTTTTTGTTTAGATTTGCCTGCAATTAATTTATTCATGTAGTTGAATATTTTTGTACAACTCTTTTCATAGTATGGACACTAAGGTTTTAAATGTTAATGGCGAGTTCGTTCCACACAATATCATTCACATCAGGGAGGTGGTGTGTGTTTATTTATTTCACTCTCATTCATAATTCACCTTACACACATACACACACTAACTGTGCGCAAAGCAATTGTTAAACATGTGTGAGGAACCGGGACTATTTCCCAATCTTATATTATTTCACTTTTGGTGGCAGTGATGGGAATAATTACTTCTCAAAACTTCCGCCCCGGTGGCTCTGGAGTTTCCCATGTTAACCTAATGGGTATTTACATTTACAAGGTTACTAGCTGGCCCGACAGACGTCGTCCTGTCCTAATGGAATGTGGATTTATATCAAATACCCGTTCATTTTCAAGATGAGCTCGTTCGCATCACTCAATTCCGTCCTGGTTGAAGTTTGTTCACTACGCTTACTCACCTTCAGGTTTAGGTCGTTTGCTACGCTCACTCGCCTCCAGGTTTAAGTGAGTGAGCTAATGTAAAGACAATTTTTTTGGAATTTTTAAAACCACATTACTAAATAACGGTTGGATGGATTCTAAATTTCACTCCTTATTCACACACTATCAAAAATCATTTATTAAATTAAAAACATAAACATAACTATAAACAATCCTACTTTGACAGTTCTAATTTTGTATCACACAGATGCTTGGTTAAATTAGCAACTGTTGTCATAAGTTTAGACAATTAATAGTGCTGTTAAGATTCTTTAATTCCGTTTAAATATGAGTACTCATAAGGTTAACATGGGAAACTCCAGAGCCACTGGGGTGGAGCCCTTTTGACAGATCTGCACCAAACTTCACACAAACCATCCTTGAATAATGCCTGAAAGTTTCATTACAATCTGTCAAGTGGTTTCGGAGTTCATAACGTTCAAATATATATACAAACTTCCTCTTTTAAAAATATAGATTAAATAATTTTGTCAGCTGAATCCACCAAACAAGTTGGTTCTATGATATAATAGCATTAAAAACAAAAAATTTATAAGGTTTACCAACATGGTGCAACACCATTATTTTTTGCAATTTTATAATAACAGCTAATTTGAGGTAAGCAGTATCAAAAAGCTGTGATACACTACGAGAACTGTCAAAGTAGGATTGTTTACAGCTATGCCTATGATTACGTTTTTTATTTAATAAATAATTTGTGATATTGTGCGCATGTTTGATAATATACTTTTTTAGCAAATTTCCCATAAGTTATAGTGAATAAGCTATTACCGTAGGTCTCATGGTAAGACTTGGACCGGGGATCGATTTACTTTTTTGTTTTGATGTCCCTAGAAGCCAAAAACACCATCAGTTCAAATTCATATTTATATACATGTCCGTTAGCACAATAACACAAGCAAAAATGATCCGATTTTAATGAAATTTGGTACAAACGTGTGTAAACCTTCGTTACTTCGAACGAGATCAGGAACCAGCATGTTCGGACCATTGGAACGGGGTTTTATGGTAGGATTTATGCGGTAAAAATTAGTTTTTATCGTTTTTGACCCTCAAAACATAATATTTCCCAAATTTTCTATAGACCATTTTGAAGAGCTTAAAAAACTAATAATGTTGTATATTGAAGTGTTTTTGTATGATAATGGGTTACGGAGAAAATTGTAAAATAAAAATTCCCATGTTTTTCTTTTGGAGAATAAGTACAGTTGTATTTTGCTTGTTTATGGATATATTAGGATCAAACTTGGCAAATGTAGGTATTTATTTTATACTAATATATTAATATTTTACTAAAAAATCACGTTACGTAGATAGCAAACCAAGCCTAGATACTCGTTAAACGTAATGTTATTTGAATAGATTTAATTGAAAATCAAATCAGGCAAATGGAAATTAGCTTAGTCCGCAGGCTGCATGTTTGCTGCGGCGGGGGTATTCTATTGTTTAGGTGCAGTGCTAGAACAGTATGGCTGTGGTAGATGTGTAATACTTAGGCCCCGTTTATGCACCAAGAGCGGGAGCGGTAGCGGTTGCGGGAGCGATTTTCAACACCATTGAGTTAAATGGTGCTGTTTATGCACGAAGAGCAATAGCGGTAGCGGTTGACCTCCTGCTGCGGTTTCTATTTCACCGCTGTGTAGTTAGAAATCGCAGCAGTTGCGATAGAGCAGTTTTCAACTACATTGAGTCAAATGAGACTGTTTATGCACGGCGGGAGCGGGAGCGGCTGCAGCCAGGGTTGCCAACTTGACCCACGCCACAGAAAACGTACTACTATAACCCAGAATGCCAACCGCATGGTATAAAGCATTAAGCGTTTTGAGAGAGCTTTGCCTGTCAATCCGTAGGCAGTGCCACCAGCGTCGCCATGCACTCAGCATAGCAACGCTGGTGGCGCTGACTACAAATTGACAGGCAAAGCTCTCTCAAAGCGCTTAATGCTTTTTACCATGCGGTTGGCATTCTGGGTTATAGTAGTACGTTTTCTGTGCCCACGCGCACGTGCACTTTGGACAAATAGTTGTGTTTAAGGATAAACCAACATGGATAAGACACTTTTTTAAATAGGGTATACAAATATGCAAATAATTTTTTTCCGGGATAAAACACAAGATCAATGCTGCTTCCGGTATCATTAAAGATTAGGAAATAAGAGAGCCTAAAAAGGGTGATAAAATTACAACAAATTGTTTTATTCTCGCAATGGTCAAATGCGCCAAACATGCACCGATGAACTTAAATGAAAAAGTTAGTTTTACTTTAACATATAGGCCTAGCTGACCCACTGCACACATTGATTTTGTTCAAATATGTGCTGGCATAATAATCAGATCATTGTCACTTATTTCCTGAGAAAAGTAGGTACTGTAGCTTTTTGATGGTCTGAAGCTGCAACCAGCCTCGGTAAGCTCCTCCATCAGGACCGTTAAGAATTGGCTCTGCCGAACTGTGCGATGCACAGCCTGCTAGGGGTGCCTCCGCACTCGGTAAAGGCAGTGGATCAAGTGCTGGCTGTGTTGTGATTAGACAGCGATAAAGTTGGGGAGCAGATGCCCTAGTACTGGCCCTGGGCGGAGGTGACAGTCACCATTCCAGCCACAGTTCAGACCCAAATATATTAGAGCATTGTACCGACACGAGATCACTGGGCTCAAATCTTTCCTTTAAATAGATATTAATAGATCTCCACCTTGTAATCTAAATCCCATGTTTTAACAGACCAGCTATCGCCATTTTTTTTATAAAAGAAGAACATAGTTGTGTGAGCCAGAATGAGCAAAGGTCTAAAATTCATTTTTTAGGCTACCTTATTTATTAAATTGCTAACCAACTTGATGGGTAGTAACAGTTGATATAGGCCTAGCTTAAAAAGTCATTCCATTAGTTTGACTTGGTGAGACAGTTAGTTAGTGTATTCAACAGAAATTAGTTATTTGAATCAGCACAATCTGTCGGTGGTTCACATCAACTACGATTTTGATTAAAAAACTAGCTACAAATTTAACATGGAGATGGAATGTCTAGTTGTATTTATAGTCAAAGGTAGTACTCTACCCTCTGACATTTGATTCACAGCTAATCTTGTTCACAAATTAATGATTTATGCCAAACCAAATCCTCTTTAGCAGAATTAATGTATTAATTATTTTTTACCAATGGTGTGTGTTACAAAAGGTAAGTTTTACAAAAACCTTCAAGACTGTCATTCAAGATGGCAATGTGCAATAGGAGCTATATTAACTTGAGATTAGTGTAAAAGCATAGTTACTGTACTATTGTAGTGACTTACCGCACCAAGTGATTTGAGTTTAGTTTCCAACTTCGACAGCGCAGCACTGTTTTTAATATCTAGGTAAAACTTTTTTGTCGAAAGCGGTTTATAAACTTTTTGTTTTCTAGTGCCTGAAATATAACAAATATTATTAGATCTTTACCAGACTATAGCCTACTACACCTACTCACATTATGATACCCGTACCTACAAAATTTCAGAAGAAAAAATGTAGGGGTACCCAAACAGACCAATAAACAATAAAACAAGATACACAAATGTGTCCAAGTTACACCCCAACAGCGCAACCAAAATCAAACAATCTGGACTTAGGCCTGGCAAATAGTGATGGGACAAACGACTGATTTCAACCATCCGATGGTTTTTAAAGTAGTGGGGTGGGGAAGCGGCCGTACTGCTTCCGGAGACAGATAAAACTATCTATCACACTAGAGAATGAATGGATAAACCATCAGTTCGCGTGCCTCCCTAGATAGGCTAGTTTTGGTATTTATGGCATTTGGCGTTCCTATCCAGCGTCATGTTTCGGAGAATTTACCCGTAGGCCTACATGAATAAAAATAGATTAATGTTTTGAATGATTAAAGAACTAACATGTAGGTACTGTTCTTAAGTTTACTCTTCTTTGTTATTTTAAGGTTTGTTATTCACTATTTAAGAAGACAATTAATTATTTAATCTTTTAAAGTGTCTTAAATCATGACCACTCGGTAAGTTTAGGCCTATTGGATATTTATAACTCACGTAGGTACCTACCTAACATTTTTACGTCAAAAAGCTATCAAGGCTGATTGTACAAATTAAAAAAGTCTTCATAGCCTAGGCCTAATTTCAACTACTGTACCGGTACGCATATTAACTTAATAGCTGCCCGAATGCATTTTGTGCTGAGCTGAGCATGAGCAGATGAATTACCTGAGAATAGATGAATAAAATACCCTCTGGTAACCCATTTAATACCCCTGTGTTAGATACTTAAATAAGGTAAACAAATTAACTCATCAGGCAAATAAACAAATATTCATTTTACCATTCAATAAAGAACAGTTTCAGATGTAAAATAACTTAGCTATAGGCCTAATCGTAACTTTAGTTTAAAGTAATGAAAATACGACACAGATAGGGCCTAAGTTAGTTTTACAATAGAATGAAAATGTGGAACGGGTGGTTTACAGACAGACGAGATAGGGTAGTTTATTCGGCTGATTCACATGTGATAGAAAGGATGGTGGGTTCAGTTTCTTAATTGGGCTATGCTAATATCAATTAATTGAAACTATCGAATTGAAAATAATGATTAATAGGCTAACCCATATTATTAAATATAGGTAGGCCTATCTATTATAAAATTAAACCTATCATAACCTAACCTAACCAACCAAAACTTGCTGATGGTGAAAAAATCGCATGAAAGTTTACTACATCGGATCTATAGTTTCAATCGGTATTAGGGCCTAGGTAGCATAGCCCAGTTAAGAAACTGTATCTACCCATGGTTAATCAAAATTAAAGTAACCATCGGATGAATCGGTTGGCACGCAACAACCAGATGAATTGTTTGTTTCTATCGGATAACTTAACTTAGTTCCCATCACTACAGCCAGCCTGAAATAAAATTGTTTCGCCCCCTTGAGGCACTCAAAGGGAAAGGTATTTTATTGTTTATTAGGATCGTAGGAATGGTTTAGAAGAAAAGTCCAGAAAGTTCAGAAATACCCAAATAACTTAAGTTAGGCCTAACTAGGCTGTTGTGTAACTTAAGATTACCCCTAATCAAAAACGTTGTGGCCTAAGGTTACCTGTCTTTTCCTTTACTCCAAGCTGGTCATTAGTCTCCCTCCCTTTTTTATCTCTCTTCTTTTTGTAGGGAGATACCATGCCTCAAGATAAATCTAGCCTAGGAAGGAATTATGCTTCTAAATAGGCCTATTGGAATAACAATGTAGATACCACAAAACATCACTGATCACTGATTCAATCGACTCACAAAGGTTCTGAAAGGCTTGGCTTGGTTTGAAGATCGGGCTAGACCTAGTAGGCCTAACTGTCATCCAGAACTAGCCCTAGCCCACCACCACCGGATCTTAGGTCAATGTTTATACGTTTAGCTAAGTTAAAATGTTGTTTATACTAAACACAAAATATTAAGGTCACTAATCACTATTACAGTCCACAATTTTAATCGAAATGAAATCGTAGTGTAGCAAAATTGAATTGAAACTGAAGCTCTTTAAGGTAGAATCCTCCTCTTCTCGAAGTGAACAAACCAAAAACCCATAAGAACAAGAAGTGGGGTTTGTAACGGAGAAAAAAGGCACACAAGTATTAATATTTCTGCTATAAAATTGTGACCGTTGTTGTCCTACAATTTTCAATCGCAAGTTATTGTCCCCAAACAAAAAGTGATACAGATGCAATAATTATAATTAAGAAAGTCCTGAATGTCTACAAAAGTACAAAATCGGAAACAAATGAAAATTTGGCTCCATAGTCCATCTCCATTTTAGTCAGCTCTCTCGACTCTCGCTGCTCGCTCGAGTCTCGCAGAGCAGAGTTTGTTTGTCTGTCCTCTGTCGTCGACATCGTCGTCAGTTCAGTTCAGTCAGTAGCTCTGCTCCGCAACGGCACACGGAAGATTTCTCAGGTGCCGTTTGACGTCACTAACTGCTGACGTCACTTTGAGGGAACACCAATACCGCAACGCCTCGGTGGTGCAGTGGATAGCGTTGCGGGCTGTTAACCCGATTGTTCCGGGTTCGAATCCCGCCGGCGGCACTAAATTTTTATCAACAATTTTTTCATATCAGCAAGTTTGGTTGGTTTGGTTAGGTTATGACAGTTTAATTTTATAATAAAAAAATTATAAAATTGAATTTTAGGCAATTGTAATTTTATTTTATGAACAAAACTATTTTTTAGATTAGTAAACCTTTATTCGATTTTTCCATTGTCAGCACGTTTGGTTAGTTTGGTTAGGTTATGACAGTTTAATTTAATAATAGAAAATTATAAAATTGTCTGTTTCTTCAGATGCAGCAGTTATTGACGTCAGCAGTTAGTGACGTCAAACGGCACCTGAGAAATCTTCCGTGTGCCCCACCGGCTCTGCTCTAGCTCAAGCTCAGTCAACTTCTTACACATACTCCTCTCAATGCGCATGCGCGATTAAACTGTAACATGAAGCTGCGACAAGCGTTCGATCATGTCCAGGAGCTGAGGGGGTTTGAGCATGGATGAAAGTAGTACCATAGACTAACCAACACTTGGGGGGAGTATGTTTTATCTATGGTAGTACGCAATGTTATTGCTGATTATTGTAATATGGACTGTGGTGATCAAAATTACGCATGTCGCCTATTTCAAAAGTGGTTGATAAGGTGGGGGGGGGGAGGGGGCAAACATGGCGGTTTGCGCTATGCGTTAAAACGCTGATATTTCGAAAACGGTAAAAGATCGATAGAACATCGGTTAAAAGTTGTAATTCTAAAAATGTGGACTACAATAATGGTTAATATGTCCGAGGTCGTATCTCTATAAATAAACAAGTTATTGTATAAAATATGTAAAAAAGGACTTTTCAAGTAGTTTTTTTTTTACCGAAAGTAGAATTAATTTGTGAGTGTAGCAAAGAAGTAATGTCAAATATCTTTGCTGATAGTTGTAATATGGACTGTGGTGATAAAAAATACGCATGTCGCCTACTTTTCAGGTGGTCGAGAACTTGGGGGGAGGGGGGCAAAGATGGCGGAACGCGCTATGCATTAAAACGACTGTAGCTCGAAGCTCGATAACGGTACGAGATGGGACATCGGTTAAAACATAGTTTTAATCAAAAAAATATGGCCAATAGAAAAGGTTACCGTATTAGGTAAAAAGTTGTATCTTAACTAATAAAAAAGTTATAACAATAATAAGTTTAACAAAATCTACATTATACAGCTATTTTCTTCAAAAATCATATGGATTGTTGATAAAAATAGTGTAATTACTCGGCTAAATATTAACCAGATGCATTTTCTTATAAGAAAAAAATATATTTTTACAAATACATATGGTTTAAAATGTAAAACACTATTACCACTAAACAGGTTTACTAATTCCTGACACCCTGATCCTAAAAAAAGTAGATTTTTAGGTGTGTGTGGTGCTGATGTACGATGTACCAAATCTTATTGATTTATCTGTTGTCGTTTAGAAAATATTTAACTGTCTTCGGACTTACCCCCCTATATATGTATATATATTTTTTATATAGATTTATGTACTGTATATGTCTGTGAACACGATAACTTGAGTCATTTTTGTCCGATTTTGGTGAAATTTGGTGAAACAAAAATTTGTCCCGAGACTCAAGCCTCAATTCGTACAATCACGCACTTTTTTAGGGAAAATGCAGCCCCGTCAAACTCAATCCTAGGTTATGGGCCTGAAATCTTGCCTAGTGTACGGGAAAATCTGCTAGTAGCCTGCTTGTGTGTGCTATAAATGTGCAATCTATACGTAATAAAATTGCTGAACTTGAAATACTTTGCTGTCAACTGGACATTGATGTGCTTTGTGTGTCTGAGCATTGGTTGTTAGAGGCAGAAACTGCATACTATACTCTAGAATCAATAGCCTTGACCTTGTATCTTGTTTTTGTCAAAAAACCCCTTGGGGGGGGTGTGTCAATTTATATTAATACTAAATGGAACTACTCTTTATTAGACTTAAGAAGTCTAATAAAGACAGAAAGAATTTACAGGTATAATCATCTCTAACTTGAATCTCATTGTTGTCACCATGTATCACTCGCCTAGTGGTAGTTTTGAACGCTTTTTTTTATCTACTTGACATGTGTCTAGTTTATTTAACTTCCCTGGGGTTAGATATTATAATCGGCACAGACCACAATGTGAATATACTCAACCATCCAAGTGAGTCACACCTGGACACCACTCCTACGCAGAAGCCGCTGCAGTGTCATGTGACAAGGGGGGTTTGAAAGCAGAGCAAGTGCAGTTAGTGGGGGTGTAAGTGATGTGAGTGCCCGGTTGTCATCTCTTGCTGAGCATACTAAAAATGCTGTTGTAAATGGCGCTGTTAATAATCTTGTAAATAGTTGTATAAATACCAATGTCCAACAGGTAGATAGTAGTGTAAATTCCAACACTTTAAACTCCCATACCGCCAAAATCACAAACCCAGGATAGTTTGTAATGCACCCAAGAAATACATAACAATATTAAATCAAAATATAAGAGGTTTGATACATAAAATCGAGTCATTGGAAATAATACTTGAAGAAATTGATCCAGCATTTTTGGTATTAACAGAGCACAACTTAAAACATGACGAATTTGATCAAATAAATGTCAATGGATATAAAATGTGTTCTTTTTACTCTAGATATACATCCAATGGTGGGGTGGTGATAATGGCGAATGGCAGTGTGAAGTGGGAAAACCTTAATATACCAAGCATAACAGACTTATGTATAGATAAAATATTTGAATGTTGCTTTGTATCAATTAAAAACGGGAAAGATAAAATTGCACTGATGGGGGTCTACAGATCACCTGCAGCTAGTGATAAGGTGTTTTTGGAAAAACTCAATAATGCTCTAGAAATTATTACTGGGATTTGTCCTTACATAATTATAGCAGGAGATTTTAACATTAATGTCTTAGAGGATGCTAAAGATCAGTTAATGAGAAATGAATTTGTTAATTTACTAAAAAGATTTGGTTGCAAATATTATGTTAATTTTCCCACTAGAGTTACTGAGTCAACAGCTACAGCAATTGATAATTTTGTTTCCAATATTGACAAAAGTAAAATTCATGTTGAAGGTATTATTACAAGTCTCTCAGATCATGATGCCCAATTGTTAATGTTGTCTCGTTTAAACAATACCGATCACAGTAATGTTCAAAAAATTACAATAAGTAAAAGAGCATACACAGATGAAAATATGGCATTATTTAAAAATCATTTGTGCCTAGAAAACTGGTATTCTGTGTACGCAGCTCCAGTTGAGTTAAAATATGACTGTTTTTTCAATCTTTTTACATATTATTTTAATATATCATTTCCAAAAATTAAAACTAGAAAGTATAAGGCTAGAAACATGTGGATATGTAATTCACTAATAGAAGAAAAGAAAGAAATATCAGAGCTGGCGCTAACTTATAGATCAAACAAAAATAAAATGCTAGGTAAAATAATTAAACAAAAAAACATAAACTATCATAAAAATGTCATTAATAACAAAAGAAATTACTACAAGCAGAAAATCCTAAGATCAAAAAATATTAGTAAAGATGTTTGGCAAATAATTCATCAGGAAACCGGCGCATGTAAGTTGAATACAAAAAACATTCATTTAGAAAAAAATAATACCACTGTTACTGATCCTTTACATGTAGCTAATACTTTTAATGATTATTTCATTAATATTACACAGGAATCGTTAAATGGCAATAGTTTTGGTTCTGCCAATGAAAATTGTAATCAAGTAGATAGGAATAATATCAAAAATTCTTTCCGTTTAACACCAGTTGATGAAAAAGAAATACTAACCATTATTCAAAATCTAAAAAACAAACCTGCTAGTGGTTATGATGAAGTGCCTATTAAAGTGATTAAACATGTTGATAAAGCTATTGTTAAGGTCTTAGTTCACTTAATAAACTCATCTTTTGTGTCAGGTATATTTCCATCAAAACTTAAAATTGCCAAAGTTATTCCTATACACAAAAAAGATTGTCCAAAAAACCCATCAAATTACAGGCCACTGTCAATTTTACCCACAATTTCAAAAATTTACGAAAAATCTGTCAATACTAGATTAATGTATTTCCTCGAAAGTAACCGCTTAATTAATGACAACCAACATGGATTTAGGACGGAAAAGTCGACCAAAACAGCAACCGTTCAATTTATCGATTCCATTATTGATGCCATTGATAGGGGTGAAAAATGTATTGGACTATTTATGGACCTAAAAAAGGCATTTGATAGAGTCTGTCATGGTACCATGGTTAAAATTTTAACACAGTTTGGTATTAAAGGCAAAGCACTTGATTGGTTCAGATCATATCTAACCGATAGGCAACAGTTTGTTGAAATAGCTTATACAAATGGCGAAAAACAAACAAAAATAAATTCGAAAACACAATGCATAAAATTTGGAGTCCCACAGGGGTCAATATTAGGCCCATTATTATTCATTATCTACATAAATGGAATTAATGATATATTGGTTGATCAGAATGCCAACAAAGTAGTTTTGTATGCTGATGATTCAAATTTGAAAGTTTCAGGACCAACTGATGTACATATTAAAAGATCTGCAGAAGAAGAGTTAAATAACATAGTTTCATTTTTGACAAATCTAAACTTACAGATAAATTTAAATAAAACAAACTTTATAAATTTTAATACAAATAAGAACCAAAATGGTTTTTCAACAGAAATAAAATTAAATGACAACATTAT